AAATAAAAAATAAAATTTAAAATTACATTTAAATAAAAGAAATTTGTTAGATATCTGAAATACTTATAAGATTTTTAGTTAGATATTTGCCGGCTTAGTCTTAAAATCTAAAATTGTTGCGTGCAGTTAATCAAAATTCGATAAGACGACAGCCGTTTGGCAAATGAACATTCTAATTTTTATTATTTTTCAACAACTGTTGTCTGACAAGTGGGGAAGTTCACTAACCCTTTGTGCCGGCTGAGCACATTTTTTGTTGTTGTTTTATTTTGTGTTGTTTATGACGCTGAATAAGACGCTAGTCGTTTATTTGTGGAACGTGTCTGTTCGTGTCTGTATGTGCGTATGTGTGTGTATTGTATTTATAACGCTAATTTGTAACAGTGTCGCCGTCGGGCGGCTGCTGTGCATGTCAACATGTAACTGACTGAAATGATCGTAATTCGTATGCAATATAAATTACGCGCTTCTCTTCTACTCTTTCTCCTCCTCCTCTCCCATTCTCTTTCTCTGTGTGAGTTAAGGCAAGCGTTTGGCCATCATGGATCATTAAAGCGCCAAGTGCAGCGCCTGTTATTTATACTTGCAGTTGCTGTACAGCATTCAAGAGAGCGAGAGAGAGAGAGAGAGAGCGACTGTGTGAGAGAGTTGGCGAGGGGGTATAACAGTGGTCGCGGGTGCGTCGCTTTGATGTGATTTTGGTTTTTATGTTGTGTTTTTATTTTCGCTCTCACAATTTATGCGGTATTTTTTGTGGGATTTAATTTTCGTTTTTACAGTTGTTATTGTCGGATTTGGGATCTCGTTGTGTGTATTTATGTGTGCCAAATACGCGTGCTTAATTATACAAAATGTGTGTTGCGCTCGACTTAACAGCCAGTGATTTATTTTGTTAAGCTCACTGGGCGCATATTCGAATAATGAATTTAAATGTGGACGCCACAACAGTTGTATTAATAATGATGATGAAGATGCATACGAGATGTTAAATAAAAATGTTATTTGTTTTGTGGAATATATGTCAAGTGCTTAACATTTCTTGATAATGAATTCTTCATATTTAACAGCAACTTATCACTGTGGCTTCCATTTGCACTTGAGTTGAATAAATCTTGAGAATGTGATGTGGCATTTAATGTAGTAATTCTAATTTATGTCTAGTGTTTAATGAGTGTAAATAAATAATTTTTTGTGTGAAATGTTTGACTCATATTTGAACAGCATAATGATAAGACTTGTTTTAATTGTGGTTGCTGTGTGGACTAAATGTTAAATATTCATTTGCATTAGTTTATCAACTAACAGTAACTGTAAAAGTAACAGACTGCTGTGGATGGGGCTTTAATTACAAATCTTTTGGAATTTTATTTGGCGTTCTGCATTATAGATTTTATTACAGTGCCCGATTTTGTATCTTGTATGTGATTGTCGTTAGTCTATAATTATGCTTTGAAAACCAGTCTGCGATCAAATTGTTCCCACTTTTTCATGATGCTACAACAATAATTTTCATTGTCCATCCAGAGGGGATCGTAATTGCACAATTTGACAATTGCATTAATTGCGTTTAATTGCTTACGTTTTCGAATTGTGGTCGCTTCGATGCACTCTGCTTTTTTTTTTCGTTTTGCTTTTGTTTTTGCTGTATCTTAATTACAATTTCTGTTACAATTTCATTTCATTTATAATTGCTGCTGTTGTGGTTGTTGTTGTTGTTATCTCTGTTAATGTTGACGTGACCTTTGCCAACGCGCCAATTCATTAATAATTGCTCAAAGCTTTGAGCTTCGAATGCACTGTTATTCCGCCGCTACTCTACTACTCGTCCACGTCAAGCAGCTCTCTCTCTCTCTTGCTCTCTCTGCCTTACACTTACGTACAGCATAACTAATCGAATCGAACGGCTTTATGTTACTGTTACTGTTATCTTCTGCGCTGCTTGTTGCCCACCTGCTGTCAAGGCTTTTTCACATGAAATTGACACAGATTTTCATCAAATTAATTGCTGTGTGTCCGTGGAAGGGGTAAGATGGTTGCCGGGTGCGGGGCTGTGTGTTGTGCACTCAACAATCGTGTTAAAGTGTCTTACAAGTGCTCTCAACTTTTGTGCCACGACACGACACAAAACGCACACACGCACAAAGGCATTAACATTTGTTCGACGGCACCCGCCCCTTCCGCTGTTGTCACGCTTATCAGTAGCCATAAACAGCCAGCAAGTGTTATAAAAAAAAAAATTTGTTGCTTCCGCTTTGCTGACTCGATTCGTGTTACAAAAGAGAAAGACGCTGGTGGAATAGAGTGTGAGAGAGCGAGAGAGAGGGGACCGAGAAGAGAACGACCTTTATCACGTGTAAAAATCAGCACATCACGATATAAAATGTAATTTTGACAAACTTGATCACGAAAAAAATGAATTAATAATTTGAGCAACAATTATCTTGTTAGTCAATTGAGAATGGTTGAATCTGCTCAAAAGTTGGTCTAAAAAAGTAGTTTACAATTTGCAAAAAGTCGTTGTTGGCATAATTCCAATTTATATTTGCTGTGCGTGAAGTGTCGACAAAGTTCACATCACGCTGTCATCTCTAAATTTAAGTGAGTGTGATGGAGTGGAGCGTTAGAGCAGTGAGGGACAGAGAAGAGGCGCCGAGCAAAGCTTTGGCATCTTTTCAATTTATGACACTTTGACAGCTTACCGAACACAGTGCAAAGCACACTGTGCGACTTTTAATTAAAATACAAAATTGTAATTTAGACCCAGCGTGTGCAGCATAGCCCCAAAACTTTTGACTAAATGAAACACGACAACAACAACTGCAAAAGAAACTTGTAAGCGACGCCGAAGTGAAATGGAGAAAACGCGATAAACACCAAATCAAAGCATTAGTTTGCAGATGGCGCCGTCAGCGCCTACATACACACACATACACACATTTACATACACAATCAACTCATTGTTTTCTGTCTCTCTCTGATTTTCCTTCTAGTTGAGCATTTTGTTGATTGCTGTGTGTTTGCCTCAATTGCCTGCAATTGAATTATAATTAAGTGTTAATGGGAGTGTCTTTATTAATGTTAATAGCATAAAGCCAATAAACTATATACACTGATTACACGCAAAAGAACACTGATTGTTCCATTAATGAATTTGCCTAGCAGACTGACAGTTAACAGTTAATATTCAACAGTGTAATCAGCTATGTAAGCAAGCTGTTAATTTCTGTTTGTTTAGCAGCATTAGCATTAACATTGAACGCTTTTACTTTCATTTTGCAGTGCACAGTGGTAATAATTGTTTGTCAAGGCTTCTACAATAACAGTTTCAATTAAGCCACATTATTATTTCTGACAGCATAATAATAGTATGTTTACCTTTAAATTCGCTCACATTTCAGTTAATTTGATTAATCACAAACGTACTTTAATGTTTATAAATAATAAATATCACGCATTTTAGTTTTACGTACTTTCTGAATAAAACATTAAACGAAATGTTGCTGACGCATTACTTATAAAGCTTTTGAAAAAATAATTATTACACACTCGACTTAACCGACGTATATGTATATGTGGAATGTGTGTGTGTATTTGTAAACCCGTTTTATATTGTTATTTTTTGTTGAGTGCATTATTGATGACTTCATGCTGCACGCACTGAAGGGCACTCTTGTGGCGCTCTCGGGCCGTCTGCCTGTGGCCTGACTGTCATTTGCCCACTTCGTTTTTAGCCTCTTTTTGGTTCGTTTCTGCACATGCAACTGCATATTTTACCAGGTCGACCTCTATCCTCCCCTTCCCCTCCACCTTTCATCTTCATCCACTCTCTCGCTCTCTGTTAACAAGCAGCTCTTGACGAGTGTGTTTGTGTGCGTGCATCGTGTTATGCGAAACTGGTTTTGGATGCACTTTCCACATCCCCTCCCCTTCTACTGGTCTTTCTCCTAACCCCTCTCATTCTTGCATGTAATCTTGTCTATGATAGGCCAAGCATTGGGACTCGTCGCATGCCTTATGAATGATTCAAATGCATGCTATGTATACGCAAAAAGAAATACGAAAAAATACCGTTAAGAATAGTTGCGCTTTTGTCTTATACCCTCGCTCGGTAACAAGGCTCGTCTTAGTATACGTTTGTTATTAATGACATGACAAAAAGTTTCGCATTGATACTTATACTAGATTAATAATGATTATGTTTTTTTCTTATCTTTCATTATTTACGTATAATTATTTATTTATTTTATTTCTAATAAAACAGACAACTGTTTCTTTTGCTTATTATGACCATTAACAGGGTATACGGATAGTCGCTCACCTTTCGTTCGCTGCATTTTCTCATGATTTCAGACTCGGGCTCTGACATCTTGTTGGGTGCCGGTTTCCGTTTGGCTTTTGTTGGTTTTCTTTTTGTTGTTGTTGCTTCGGTGGCATTTTTGGGATCGCTGCTTGCAACTCTGACCTTTGTCAATGGAATTTGTGCTCAAATTATTTTCTTTTCTTTACGTTTACTTTTGTTTGCGAAAATCTTTTTATCAGCGTAACGAGGATTTTGTATGGTAAAGGTATTTGAATGTTTAATATTTATTGACATTATTGATCAAATTTGCATTCCAGAAAAAAAGTGTATATAAATGGGGGATATTGGTTTCAAAAGAAAAAATACGTTTGGCAAAGTAAAAGTTGAATTTAGCTGTGGATTAATGTTGCTTGAATTGAACTCTATTGTTTCTCTTTGCGTTCATGCAATGAAAACAATGCTAAATTATAAAATATAATAACAATCAATAATTGCAAGTCATTGCGATTTCGTCATTAAAATATCAATCAAACAAAACAAAAAAGAGAAGTATTTTAAGCCATAAACTCGAAATCCAAACAAATACGAAATAACTTTCGTTTTTTTCCGTATTTACATACATAAATTATACTAGCTTGTATTTTTGGTTTATTATTTGTTAATGTCCATTTTTTTCTTCTTTTTTTCCCTTTCTTTGCAGTTGAATAGTTTCTCAAGGTCTTTGGTGCGTGCGAGAAAAAGAGATAGAGAGAGAGAAGAGGGCGGAAACAAAATCGAAACTGGTTGTTGTGTGTGGAGCATGAGCTGAGGCCGAGGCGACACTGGAGAATTTGGACGTCGTCTCAATGGATCAGCAAACAACAAAAACAGCAACAACAACAGTGAGAGGATGCGGCAGCAGCAGCAGCGACAAGAAGAAGGGCAACTGCTAGTTAACAGTGAGAAATCGTACGTTTGTCTCTGTGCGTAGCATGAGACAGAGACAGAAAGAGCGAAAGCTCCACATATGTGCCAAACCAACTGTAACAACAACAGCAACCACAAAAACAAAAACAATTCCCAACAACAAAAAGCATCTAATTAAAAGCAGTTCACGCTTCAAAGAGTTAAAATAAGAGAGAGAAAGAGAGAGAGATAAAGAGAGAGGGAGTAGTGAGCTCACAGCGCCTGTCAAACTAAAAGTCTGATAAGAAAAGTTATACATTGTAATACATAGGGCAACCAATCAACAGGGCAACAATAACAGAGCAACAACAGCAACAATAACATATCTATGGCAACTAACAGCAGCAACTTACAAGCAACTCACACCAACTAACAGAAGTGAAATGCTGTAAAATCGTTTACATTAACTACAACAAAAACACCACACCACGCTACACAACAGACAAAAGCTGATTGCTGCCAGCTGACTGAATTGACTGACAGAAACAAATTAAATTTGTCGCACACAATTAAACACATCAACAACAAAAAACAAATAAACAAGCTAGCTAACAACACCAATCAATAATAGGTTTGCAAACAAAACAATATAGTTAACATGACACTGCAAAGTTTCACACGCAAAATGCGGGGACGCATGCGTTCAAACACCTGCCGCATTGTATTACTCACCTCACTGGTTTGGCTTATCTTTGACTTTGTGCTCATTGCCCACTATTCGGACTGCATAGGCAAAGATGGCTGGCGTTGCAGGCGAGCCGGCGAATATGATGTTGAGGTTAGTAACGCTCATTGCTTCTTAAGGTGCAACTCTGATTTATTGCCAGAGGTGAATTTTTATTTTTAAATTAAACCATTATACAACTGTTTCCGGTTTTAATGTCGTATATTCGAAAATCAACAAATTTCAATCAATTTAGATCTTTGAGAATAAACTTAAAACCAATCAAATAAAAAATCTAAACAAACATAAATACTTATGTTTGTATCTTTCTTTGTTTATAGCTGCCAAATGCTGAGCGTTTGGTGGACGACAATCAATTGGTCAACGATAATGAAATCAATACAGAGAAATCCTTGGATGGTGATGAAGGCATTGCGCCGATAATGGGTCAGGGCTTCATCTCTGGCGGCATATCGATGACGTATCGCAGTGTGCTGCTAAAGAAATGGTTCCAGGCGCCGACAATTCGCGAATCCAAAGGCAAACCGGGTGAGATGGGCAAGCCCGTTAAAATACCCGCCGACATGAAGGATCTCATGAAGGAGAAATTCAAGGAGAATCAATTCAATCTACTGGCCAGTGATATGATCTCATTAAATCGCTCGCTAACCGACGTGCGGCACGAGAAGTAAGTACAAAAGTGGCAGATTTAATAATCAAATAAAATAAAATATATATGTATTTTATATTTACTTTATTATATATATATTTATGATATATTTGTGATTGCTGCTTTAGTTGTCGCCACAAGCACTATGCCTCAAAGCTGCCCACCACCTCAATTGTGATAGTCTTCCACAATGAAGCGTGGACGACGCTTCTGCGCACCGTTTGGAGTGTCATCAATCGCTCACCGCGCTCCCTGCTCAAGGAGATCATCCTGGTGGACGATGCCAGCGAGCGAGGTGACTAGTAGAATTATAAATAGTTGAATAGTATTTCTAACTAGATTCTTTCCTTGCAGATTTCCTGGGCAAACAGCTGGAGGATTATGTGGCCAAGTTGCCAGTTCGTACGTTCGTGCTGCGCACGGAGAAACGCTCTGGCCTGATCCGGGCACGTTTGCTGGGCGCCGAGCATGTGGCTGGCGAGGTTATCACATTCCTGGATGCGCATTGCGAGTGCACCGAGGGCTGGCTAGAGCCGCTCCTGGCGCGCATTGTCCAGAATCGTCGCACGGTCGTTTGTCCCATCATCGATGTCATCTCGGATGAGACTTTCGAGTATATAACAGCCTCGGACTCCACGTGGGGTGGCTTCAATTGGAAGCTCAACTTTAGATGGTGCGTTGAGATTTACAATTATATTTATAATAGCCTAATAACACTTGATGCTTGATGAAGCTTTAATTCCAATTTCAAATAGTTGTTAGAAATTTTAACTGTTTAAAACTTGTGCAAAAGTAGTTAGTAAGTAAACATCTTACAGTATATATATATATTCTTGTCTAGTATCAAAAGCCTACTTGTCTGTACGAATAAGAAATATGTTCTCATATACGATACAAGTCGATTTCTTATTGCAAATACATAACTGTTCAGATTTTGCCTTCGAATCGATATAATATACACCCAGACATATTATTGATGAACTGTACAAATTTCATTAAGCTCAAATAAGGAACACAGATTTTGTTAATCAAATGTAAAAACTACTAGCAGCAAGTTTACTTTAGAGGCTTTCTAATTGTTTAAAAAATCTATAAGAAATTCCCAATATTGTCAAAGATCATTTGAATCTAAATTAGGACAGATTGTTATTTTTCTCAACATTATGTAGGTGTTCAGGGTATCTCCCAGTCGATCTGTCTCGTCTAGATCAGTGTAACTTATTTTTACTCTGCTCACATCTATCTAATACTCACTTTAAGCAAGTGTCATTCGACTATACATATTTATATCCTTGTGCCTATCTAAATCAGACTGTTTTCTGATTTCAGGTATCGCGTGCCACAACGTGAGATGGCACGTCGGAATAATGATCGCACGGCACCGCTGCGTACGCCAACAATGGCTGGTGGATTGTTCTCCATCGATAAGGATTACTTCTATGAGATCGGATCGTATGACGAGGGCATGGACATTTGGGGCGGCGAGAATCTGGAGATGTCGTTTCGAGTAAGGCAAAGTCAATGAAATCTTTTCGCCACTATGGTTTTTTCTATTCGTTCTTACAGCTACAGCCAAGCCGCAAAAAGTGTTGCCCATTTTGCCTAAACATATTTTCTGATAATATCGTTTTTTCGTTTTATTTCCACTCTCTTATATTACTTTTAGTTTAAGTCGCATTTTTCTTTCTTTTCAAATTTTTTCGTTTATTTTAATTAATTAATTTATTTTTTGAAAATGAAAAGAATCGAAATGTGAAAAATATGTATGTAAAAATAATATGCTAATCACAGACACCAACACAAACAAACAAGTATGAAAACATCACGAATATATATCCAATATATTCTCAGATATGGCAATGCGGAGGCATTTTAGAAATTATACCCTGCTCGCATGTGGGCCACGTGTTCCGCGACAAATCGCCGTACACCTTCCCGGGCGGCGTTGCCAAAATTGTGCTGCATAATGCGGCGCGGGTGGCCGAGGTGTGGCTGGACGAGTGGCGTGATTTCTATTATGCAATGAGCACAGGTTCGCAAACAAAACTACAAACCAAAAAAAATCATACAAAACTCAACAACTACTACAACATAAACAATAACCGTTTTTTATAATGCGCATCTAACACAACTTTGAGTATAACAATTTTGATTCTAATTGGCCTTCACTCGCTACTAAAAACAACAAATGAAACAAATGCTTTCTTCGGTCTGCCGAAGTTACAAATACCCTTGCAGCATGATTAAATGCCAGATTTTTTATATAGTAAAATAAGGTTTTCTATAAGTATTTAATTTTCAATCAAACTTTCATCAATTCTGTAGTTGATAGTAGTCTGATGTTGATAAGAATTAATAACAGACAAATTTGGTATACAGTCAACGATTTTGGGAAATTCATACAGAAATTTTATACAAGTTAGAAGACCAGCTCTTAAATATATATTTGGCATGCCGATAGTAGTTTTTACAACATGAAAACACTTTTTGTTTAACAGAATATATTGTTATCGATCTTAATAAAGCTTGTATAGTTTATCAATTTTATGTTTGGGTATGTTATATAAAGATATGAAGGCTATATCTTTAGAATTGTATCTTTAATTAATGTTGCAAATCGATTTTTATCGATATTCACGAGGCAGGGCAGTTGTCGATCAAATTAAATCAACTTTATTTGAATTCTCTAACTGTCATAGTATCTGAGATCGACTTAGTCATACAGAATGACAGATGGACAGGGGTAACATGTATACCTGATGTACTTTATATATCTTTTCTTTAATTGTTGATGGGTTCACAGCGTAGTTATTATTGTTAAATTGTACTTTACCAGCAAGAAAACCAATTAATAATAAATCATGCATCTTCCTCTGCAAAGGTATATTGAAAACCAAAAATCGATTTACTTAAGCGCTACTAAATACTAATAACACTAACTACGAAAAAAGACAACAACTGACATTGTTTTGAGCATAAAATGCAACAAGTTGAAACTACTTATTGTAATAATAATATCTACATGTATAACAATAACTACTATAGCTAACTATTACCCTACATATGCATATTATGTAATGTAACTGCAACACAATCAATATATATATATATATATATATATATATATATATATATATATATATATATATGCTAAAAGCTAATGCCACTGTCGTCGCTTACAATATGTGTATCTATATATCTAACTGAACAACTGAGCAAGAACGCACTCTGGCATATGTTTTTTAATTATGGATTATGATTATTTGTGTGCTCTCCACTTGATTGTTTTTTAACCGAGACTCTTCTAAATGTTCTTGACAACAAAACATGTTATTAACAATCAAACTAACCAAAAACCACACACATACAATAATTATGATATACAGATCGATATATTTATATATATATATAACACGTTGAAACCACAAAATTGTTACATTTAAATAACACATGAATACTACTATCGAGTACCCATCACAGTTGTATTGCGAAAACCAACCTTAACATTGAACTTAAGCTAAACTTAACGTACATCAATAATACTCGTTGCCTATTTTGATTTTGATTTAAGTACAAGAAAAACACGAATTGGTAATTAATTTTAGTATTTAGTTTATACATCTAAGTTTGTTACTAATTTTCTTTGTATTTTTATTTGCATCTTTACTCGTTACTCGTTATGTATGTGGGCTAGGATTGTTCTCGTCAAGCACTTTGCGCCACTTGTTTAGTCGTCTGCAACTCGTTTCATCAATGAATGCACTTTGTTATTTTGAGCGTCTTATTGCTCTCGTTGTCGGTGCTCATCGGCAGCAACTACTCGCTGTGAGTTTTAGTAATTAGTAAGCACTTACTCTTCGTGAGTCTTGTTTGCTAATTAGAGTTGCTCTTGTTGAGTCTCGTTGCCAATTAGAGTTACTCCTTGTGAGTCTCGCTGCTAACTACTCGTTATAAATCTTATTAGTTACTAACTGCTCGTTGATTACAACTACTCTTTACAACTACTCGTTATTTGTCTTGTGGCTTCTTATAAGTAATCGCTGGAGATATATTTTTTTACTTTACGACAACTTCTCGCTGTAGTTATCGTTACTTACAATAACCACTCGCTATATTTATCGTTATTTATGACAACTACTCATGCTTATTGTCTCTCTACTTATGACAGTAACTCACTACATGCAAAACTGATTCTAGTTTAGTTCTAGAGGTTTAGTTGTTATTTCTTATAACAAGTAACACTAAATCGCTAAAGCTAATCGTTGATTTTAGTAGATAACAGTTTTTGCTTCATGCAGCTGGCGTTCTAAGTGCTTACAGTTCCCTAGTCCAATCAAAGAGACAAACAAGAATCTTTTCTGCCCATATCAGATCATATAGGGATCACACTCGTTACTCTTGTAGGTACTCGCTACATTTGCGCTTGGCTCGACTGATTTATATTGATTGATGTACATATTGATGTGTACCATCTCTTCTCTCTCTCTCTCTCTCTCTCTCTCTCTCTCTCCCCATTTTCGCCCACTCTGTTTTGTCTCGGTAAAAAAAAAACATTGACAATTTTCTGATATTACCCGCCGCCTCCTCCAGGTATGGATGTGTGGCGGTGTGCTCGAGATAGCGCCCTGCTCCCGTGTCGGTCATGTCTTTCGCAAGTCAACGCCGTATACCTTCCCAGGCGGCACCACGGAGATTGTTAATCACAATAATGCGCGTCTGGTTGAGGTTTGGCTGGACGACTGGAAAGAGTTCTACTACAGTTTTTATCCAGGTTAACGAAACAAAACAATCTCTCTCTCTCTCGTTCTCTCAAAATGTCATCGAATGCTTCTTCTTCACTTTAATATCTCACTCACTCTGCCTAACTGTTCCTGTTTCTCTGTTTCACTCTCTCTCTAACTCTATAGTTATCTGTTTCGTATATATAAATAAATATATATATATATATATATCTGCATTTTGCAACTGTCTGTCTTATATATACACGCACTTTTAGATATATATATATATATATAAATATATATATATGTTTAATTTACTTATGATATCCACAATTCATATATATATATATATATGATTTATATGGCATGGCCGTGACAAATCCAATCAAAACCAAATCACCCAACAACCCAAATATGCTCAACCTGTATTTGTATATTTCTTTTGCAAATTGTTTTGTTTTGTCTTCTTTGTTTTCTTTCTTCCAGTTCCTGTTTCTGTGTCTTTTTTGCCCCCATCTCTCTCTTTCACAAGGTTCCATTTTGTCTATTTAGTTAACTGTGTTTCTTCTTATTGTTTTGTCCAACAAAAAAAACCACACAACCACAAGACGCCTGTTTAATGTCCCCCCCACCACCAACCACCAACCATCACCCACAAAATGCATTCGCAATTTTTTCAGCTCGTACTTTTTTGGCATAGCTTAAAAAGTTGAGTGAACACCCCTAATGTTTTTTTTTTCAGACCTAACTTTAAGCAAAAATTTCAGCTTGCAGCACTTGAGATATGTATTTTATCTATGTAAACATATTTTTATTTTTTGCATGACTTGTAAATAGTATATTTATGTATTTGTATGTTTGTCGGGTATTTTTATATGTGTTGGTTTTTATATAAGCTTTTTGCACACAATTCTGTTGCCCAGTTTGCTTGCCAGTCTTATCTTTAATGCTGCACGAATACAGAGCTTTTAACGGACACGAATGTAGCTCGAAAGAGAATAAAACACTTACACTCACACTAACATTGATGTTTGAAAGGAAAGTCGCTGCGAAAGCTTACTCAAAAGCACTCTTTTTGCTCTCTCTCCTCTCTCTTTGTTGCTCCTTTTGAACTTTAGGCGCTCGCAAAGCTTCGGCTGGTGATGTTAGCGATCGTAAATCGTTGCGGGATCGTCTGCAATGCAAAAGCTTCCGCTGGTATTTGGAGAACGTCTATCCGGAAAGCTTAATGCCACTGGACTACTACTATCTGGGCGAGGTGAGTATTTGAGCTTTTTGTTGCAGAGATTTTGAATTAGAATTGAGAACTTCCTTGCAGATACGCAATTCGGAGACGGAAACCTGTCTGGACACGATGGGTCGCAAGTATAATGAAAAAGTGGGCATCAGCTATTGCCATGGCCTTGGTGGCAATCAGGTGTTTGCCTATACGAAGAGGCAGCAAATAATGTCCGATGATTTGTGCCTCGATGCGGCCAGCTCCAATGGCCCCGTGAATATGGTGCGCTGCCACAATATGGGCGGCAATCAGGAATGGGTATACGATGCGGAGGTGAGTCGGGCATAGTATTTAATTACTATTATTATCATTACATGTATTAAACTCAATTTGTAATTTACAGGAGAAATGGATACGGCATACGAATACGGGTCAGTGTTTGCAGCGTGCCACACGCGACGATGCCAGCACGCCGCTGCTGAGGCCGTGCAACTATGCCAAGGGGCAGCAGTGGCTCATGGAGTCGAAATTCAAGTGGCAGGCGCACTAGCTGTTGCCGTCAGCAGCGGCTAAAACTACAACTAAAACTATACATCAAACTATTAACCTAAACGTAAACTAAACTGAGAACTTCCAATTTGTGTTTAAACTGTTAACTAAGTTGCCAGCATTATAAGAAAGGAGTGGAGAGGAGAGCAGAATGGAGTTGGAGTTCGAGAGAGGAGAGGAGAAGCTGAGTTACTAGCAAGGATTCAAGCATTTTTGTTCGTTTACATTTATATGTACTAAGTTATAGCCTAAGAGGATAAGCATTCTCTGTCTGTATGTATGTGGTGTGAGCTGTTGCTCTTTTGTGGCAGCCAATTGTCTTCCCAATTGATAATGTATATATGCACATTTATATATATATAAATATATATATATATAAAGTATGTATGCATTAGTGCGTTTAGTTTTATATATTATTGCAATTGAATATATATAAATATATATGTATTTACTTAGCCTCGACCAAGTACCAATAAATTGGCATTTAAATGACATATTGTGCTTCACAACAGAAACTAACAAGAAATAATAACTACATCAAGTGCATATAACTGTAACTAACTAAAAGATAAACAACAAAACAACCAGAAAGAAAATGGAAAAAGAAAACTAACATGTGTCATAGGAGAACGGCTAAACCAAGAAAAACTATATACATATATATGTATTGTATTGTATAGTATATAATGGATGGTAAACAGAGAAACAGTAAAACATAAATACAAACATATAAAACAAGAGCATCCCGCACATTCCCCTAGCTAATAACTAAGTTCGAGTTATGCGCTCTCAGCCGAGTTGTGTTTTTATAGTATACGTAAATAATAATAATAATTGTAAGCTTTATTTTTCTTAAAATTCATTGTTTTTTGTTTAGTTACTTTCGCTTTGTACCAAATGATAAAATTCGAAATCTATTTTTTTGTTTTATATTTTTCTTTGTTGAGGATCACAAATGCGCTGCATATCATTAATAAATAAAATGCTTTCTCCAACCATAATCATTAAATGTATACAAAAAAAAAAGGAAAACTATTTCGAAACAAAAATTAAAAATAATGCACGCATATCATAAAACAAAAAATAAAAAGAACAGTGTAAAAAAAAAACAGAAATATTTAGTTTAGGCATATACTGATATTTATGCATAAAACAAAGTAATGTGAAGAAAAAATATTGTAAATAATTTAAAGAGTGTAGCTATTAAAAATATACATTTAAATTAATTATTTATACATATATATATATATATGTGAGTGTGTGTGTGTGGTATACTATATATATATGTGAGTGTGTGTGTGTCTGTATGTGTGTGTGTGTGTAAAAAGCAAGCAAAAACTGTACTATAAAAATTGCATTTAGCATTAAGTATTTCTCTAAGTTCGAATTTAGAGTTTAGACTTAGTCGAAAAGTTTTGCGTCTAACTAAAACGTAGCTCACACCCAAAACAACAACAACAACACCAACAACAACAGCACTATAAAACATGCAACAACAACAACAAGTGCTCAAACTTCTAACTACATATTTTTGCTGTTGTATATATATAAATATATATATTTAAATATATGTATATTTATCAAGTATTTAATTAAAAGCAAGGATTAAAGAAAAATAATTAACACCACCTGATAAAACTGATATCCCAAACAACAAATATCTCCCCACACACACATACTACTTACACAAAATCTGTAAAAGCCAAGTAAAACTTTTTAGCTAAATTAATTTTTTAACAACCATATACATACCTATATATATATATATATAGCAATAGAGACGATATACATATAGTATATATATATATATAGAACTGGTGACGGTGCAATTTTAATTTTAGCATTAAATTAGCAAAACAAAATCCAATCAAATCAATCAACTAAAACTGGCAACTGGCCAGTCGGCAATACAATATCTCCTATTTAGTTTAGCTAAATATTATTTGTATAATTGTGAAATCTCCCAAAAAAAAAAACAAACAACAACAAATCAAACAAATTGATCCACAAAATGCATAGTTTGCAGTGTAAGCCACAAGTTGTAAGATGTATTTTTTGTTTAATTAGAAACTTTTTAAATTTTATAAATAAAATGAAAAACAATGAAAAATTAAGATAAAACAAAAATAAATTGTCTGCGTTTTGTATTATTTTTAGCTGCTCAACTGTAAACGAAAACTTCTGTTTATAAATGAGTATTATCCAAATTCGACTCAAATTTTCGCTATTTCTCATCTTTGACAAAAAACAATGCCCAGAAAATTATATTGAAATCAGCTGATTTACAACGAAAAATTTGCATTTTTGTTTTGTTTGTGAGAATTTATGCGACGACTGCGCAGGAGCAGCTCGTGAGAAATGTTTCAAATGGAGTAGAAACGCTTTGAAGTAAATAACTCTAATGAATTTTAAACGGGATTAAGGATCATTTATAATATATAATAAGGGACTGATTGCCAAACACGACAACTACACATTTATATCAATAAAAATAGATTCAACAAGATCAGATGTCTCCCTCTGCACGTTGTACAGCATTATAACACTATAAGAAATAACAGCACTTTTTCTTTTTTTGTTTTTTACTGCCAAGAGTAAAAGGATTTTTATTTTATTTTTTCACTTTATGCTTTTTTTTTTGGATAAAAGCAGAAACAGCTCTTTCGACCGGCGCGGCACAAACCACAGAAAATTGCGTTGTCTATTTATGTATACAAAAACTATGGGAACTCTAAAACGTAACGGAACAGAGGAATTAACTGTTCTCTTTACTGTTTACTGTTCCTTCGTCTCGCGCAGACGACGCACGGCTGAGCGCACAGAAGCGGCAGCTGTCGTGGAATAAACCCAGGCACCGCCGGCAACGGTTCGCTTGCAGCGTTTGCACGACCAGATTCCAACCACAGAACGCTTCATGGAATCCTGGAAAGCGAAACAGACAATTAGTAAAACTCGAAAATGAAATATTTGCAGCTGCTTCTTCTTGTTCTACGTTGCCTTACCTTGCCGCAGAAGGAGCAAGTATATTTGCCGTGCTGCGTGATTTCCATCTTCTTGACCATCTTACGCAGCGAGGCACCATAACGGGTACCATATTTACCAACGATTCCAACCTTCTTGGTGCGCTTGGCCTACACAAAAAGAGAAATTTAAGCAGCGTTTAGTAAACACAATTTTAGCGCCGTTTCATCCAGCATCTTAAATGTACTTTTCACACAAAATTGTATTAGCATTCAATAGCGTGTAGTTTGCTTGTTCGTTTAAGCACAATTTTAGCGCATAAGAAACACCGATTGTATTTATAATTAACGATTTTTGGGCATTCGTACCATTTTTAAGTTGTTGATTTGTCAAAAAATTCAACAGGAAAGAGACGGCCTGTCAATGAAAGGCCGTGACGTTGGCTGCGCTCGCGCCTGTCACAGACAAAAGCTGAAATGTATGCGACTTACATTTCAACGAAAACTAGTCAAATTTAACATCAATTAATATAAAAATTATACCAGTTAAACTGTTTTTACAAAATTAGTAAAAAATAGTAATGTTTAAATATACATCTGGCAGGTAAACTACGAAAATTTATATAAATTATTAGTGGCAGTTGTGCTGGCTGGCATTCACGTGTGAACGCAACTGTCAGCTGTTTGCTGCAAAATGCGTTTGTTGTTACACAGCCAGTGCTGTCCAATGTGCGGTTTTGATAAAAAAGAAGGAAAAAAGAAACAGACAACGAGACATTCATAATAATATTAGTACGCACTTGCAAGCAGCAAAAACAACAACGGCCGTCAACATTTTGAAACGTACACTGGCAGAAAAGTTGTGGTCGCTGTCGCTGTCGCTGTTCTCGACATTCAGTCGAAGAAGAAAAATGTACAGCTGTTCGCTGTTCGCAGATGAGTCCAATTATCAGCCGGACACGCTGGATCTCAATACAGATGCCAAGGCGGCTGATTATTGGTTTCCCTGCTTTCGCGAACTGGTCACCAAATATGCCAAGCAGGCTGCGGTCAGCAGCAGCAGTCAATGTGATGGTGATGATGCTGATGATGCCGCACAGCGTGCAGCACAATTTCAAGCTGCCTACTTGGGGCAGTTGCAAGACTATCAGGATAACATCGCCAACAATCGGGGCAAAGTTGTGCTGGGCACCAGCGAGCTGCTCAAGCTGAACGAGACAATGTTGCGTCGCTTTGGCTTCTCGGATCCCTGGCGGCGTCAGAAGCAGCAGGAGAATGCTTCGGCCAAGGGCAGACTCAAGCAGCGACTGCAGGAGATCGATGCCATTACGGATGGGGATGCACGCTGGACGGAACTGGTGCGTGGTGTGCTCGCTGGCAACATGTTCGATTGGGGTGCGCAGGCAGTGGCCACCATACTCGAGCAGGATAGCAATTTTGGACTGCATGCGGCGCTCGAGCGAATCGAGCAGCGGCCGTGGCTGCTGGATAATCTGGATGCGTGGCTGCAACGCATGCGGAATAGTCCAGAGCAGCAGGCACACAAATGCGCTGTGGTCTTTGTGGACAACAGTGGTGTCGATGTTGTCCTGGGCATATTGCCCTTTGTGCGGGAACTGTTGAGGCGCGGCACAAAGGTGCTGCTCTGTGCGAACAGCGAACCCTCGCTGAACGATGTGACCAGCGTGGAATTAAGTTTGCTGCTCGACGAATGCGCCTGCGAGTGCAGCATTTTGGCGCACGCCTGGCTACACAGCCAGCGGCTGCTCGTCTATGCGAATGGACAGAGTGGTCCGTGTCTGGATATGCGCACATTGCCGCGCGAGCTGTGCGATGCCATCACTGCCAATGAGACTGATCTGCTTGTCATCGAGGGCATGGGCCGAGCACTGCACACCAACCTGAATGCCCAATTCAAATGCGAAACCTTAAAATTAGCCGTTGTAAAGAATCGGTGGCTGGCCAAATATTTGGGTGGCGATAAGATGTTTCCCGTGATTTGCAAATACGAGGAGCACAGATAGTGGATAGTTTTATATATATCTATATATGTATGAATACTGATTGTTATGCTCTGCATTGTTTTCAAATTATTGTTATTGTTTATAATCCCCATCCCAATTCCAATGCCAACAACAAATTGAGATTCAGTTTCAAGTCACTTTGTATTTTGTCTAGCTATATAAAATGGCAACGAGCCACCTGTAAACAGAACTGTAATTCTTTTTTTTTATATACTTATATTAATTACTATCATAAAGTTGCAATATAAAATTTCTGTTATTTCTCATAATACTTTTTATTTACTGTTCACAACTTGGTTCAATATACATTTCTCAAGATTGTTAGGCTTCAAGTAAACTAATTACAGAAATAAATAATTACACCAGCAATTGTTAAAGCAATTGTTATTCAAGTGATAACTTAAGTAACTTTAGTTCCGATTTGTTTAACTTATGACAGTGGAATTTCTGGTATCTTAAATATCTTATCTTAATATGTAATGGATTGCTTTCCACACTTCTGTTTTTGTAGATCACTCATATTTCCAGATGTAATGCGATTTTTGTCCAAATTCACACACACAGACACGTAGATTTTAATTATTAAAAGTAAAAATAACAATGGCATTTTGTTTATAGCTCGCAGCAGTTAGCATTAAAATTTTTATCGGTCATTTGGTTATAAATTAGCCAGCTGATAAGCAAACCACCGTCGCCACACTTAACCACAGTGGATTAAAGCTGAACTGAGCACGTCGATAAGACACGAGAAAAAAGATTTTTAAAAAAAATTATGGAAGCAAGTTTTGTTTAAATGAATACCCAAGAGACCTCGACCCATTTAAGTTGCAAAATCTTTATTGTCTTGCTAATTTATGCAGTCTGTTTTGTTTATCGCTATAATAATAATAATATGTGGCTGTGAACTTTACATCATTGTCTTATCGAGATGACGCTTAGTTATCAGCAGATTATACAATAATGATAACGCTCTAGTTGCAAGTGCATATAAAAAATAACCCTCCCGAGTAGACCCTTCTAGACATGGGCGTAGACAGTTGTTGATCAGCTAAAAATGAGCAGAGTCTTGGAAAACTTTTATATACTATTATTTATATATTTGCTTGAAATGTGCTTCAGGTTGAGAATTATCAAAAACGCACACAATTCGACCCCCCGTTGCGAATAGCTGGCTTATGTTTATATATATGTATATGTTGAATTCAGACTCAAAGATTCCATTAAGATTAAGTTGTCAATGTATATTACACAAATACAAATACGGACACAAAAAATAGCTCTGATAATACAAACGGCGATCGAACATGTTGCCAGCAAATCGAGATTTGCAATTGAAATTGACTTCGCCTTCGGATCAGTTGAACACCGGAGGCTGGGGTTGTCGCAATATAAAGCGCGGCAACATGTATCTATTGGTCACCGTCATCCTTGTCGTGCTGCACATTCTGCTGCTGCCCCTCTATCTGTATCTCACCTGGCATCACAAGTACTGGCGTCGCCGTGGCCTCATCACAGCCCAGCCCCTGACTCTGCTGGGCACCTATCCGGGTCTCTTGACACGCAAGAGCAATCTTGTCATGGATGTGCAGCGGGTCTACAAGTAGGTATTATTTTCAACTGCACAACAAAACCGGAAATCCGGATCCAATCTCATCTACTTATCAGTGTATATATCTACTTGTCAATGTGCAATCTTTATGTATTCTCAAATTACAACAGCTTGCAAGTGCAACAAAATAGTCCATTATTTAGATAGGATTATTTCAGCATTACGCAAATCGATAAAGATGCGTATTGCTAATAATTTTAAAGCTACAGTCACTAAAATTGGTTGATAGGTTGTTGGCTATGCCACGGCATATGACCACACCCACCTCCCCGCCTCTTAAAATCGAGAACTGCGATATCTTCCTCAATTTTTAAGTTGGAGTCATCAAATTTGGAAGGCATATTACGAGTAACCGCCTTTATGTATCGATAATTTATAGCCACGCCCACTCCCGCCTCCAAAATTCACAAAAGCCTACAGTGTCTCGCAGTTCAACTGGAACAGCGCATAGCAAAATATTTAAAGTGCTATAACTTTTAAACCAAACAATAAACGCAAAATGTTTAAATGCCAATTTGTTTTATGTTATATCACGTTTGAAAAGGAAGCTTCAGTTTTTATTAAAATATTAAATAATTAACTAAAATTAGTCAAAACTTAAAACTTATCCAAAATGCATGTCAAAGTTTTATTGGAACAGTCTTAGAAAAGTAACTTATTAGGCGTATAAAAACTTAAATAAGGATCTTAATACTTAGTATGATATCCTTTAGCCCTAATAAAGTCCCTTAACCTATTACTCATGGAAGATACCAGCTTCCGGGTCGTTTCTGGACTGATTTTGCTCCACTCATCCAGCAGAGCATTCTTGAGATCGGATCTGTGATTCCGGATGTTATTTTCGAGCAGAGCCCACAAATTTTAAATAACATTTAAGTCTGGAGACTGGGCCTGTCGAATTATCATGTGGGGGCAGTTCCAGATATGCCAGGACTGTACTAATCCGGACTTATGCTTGGCTTTTGTCCTGGTCGTTGTCGTGGTAGATCTGGAAAGTACGTCGGATTCCTAGCTTCTTGGCACTTTGGAGTAAATTTTCCTTTAATATATTGAAATACACACTCTTGTCCATTGTTGTTTCAAAAAACACCAAATTTCCGACGCCGGCTTCCGAGATAGATGCCCATACCATAACACTTCCTCCGTCGTGCTTGACTGTTGCCTTTAGGATTTTGGGACTCAGCTCAGTATTGGACTGTCGCCACACATAATTTTGTCCGTCTGAGCCAAAAATGTTTAATTTGGGCTCATCTTCAAATATGAATGTGTTCCAGAACTCCAAATCCTTGTCCAAGTGGGTTTTGACGAATGCCATCCTAGTCCCTTTATTTTTTGCGCTTATAAAGGGCTTCTTCCGTGGTACTCGGGCATTAAAGTCATGTTTGCGCAGAACCCGGCGCACAGTTTCCACACTGCACTTTTTCCCTATTTCATCCTGCACCTGTTGAGTCAGTTTTGGAGCCGATAGCTTGGGATTTTCCCTTATTTTCCTGATGATCCTCCGCTCCTCCGGTTCGGTGAAAATCTTGTTTGGTGCCTTTCTGCCCTTGTCCTCTATCCGATTTTCGTCGACGAAGCGCCGAATGATATTGAATACAGTTGTGGTACTCAGATTTACCATTTTAGCTATTTGGCGATATGAATATCCAATCCTGAAGTGTTCCAGGATCAGTTTCCGTTGTTCAATGGTAGTCCGCTTGCACATAGTCCTTGTTGGCTGGTTGCACTCGAGATGCAGGATATAACTAATCTGACTACGAAGGATTGGTCTATTTATACCAAAAATAATCAACCTGACGTAAAAAATCAGGGTTTTATGGCACCCAGGTGTCCATAACGCCATTGTTCCACATAATATGTGACCACAAATTAAGGTACTTTTTTACATAACCCGTCCTAGCCGGTGGGAAAACCCCAGTTTATGGGGGTCATATAGTCATTTAGGTAGTGAATATATGTACCTGCCATAGTTCTTTGGAATTTTTGAAAAATATTGAATAATTTGTTTATGGCAGGCAATTAACTTTTTTGCTAGGCGCTGTTCCAGTTGAACTGCGAGACACTGTATATATAATGCAGTTAGAAGGCAAACTTGGGAAATGGCTTACAAGGAACTTCCATCAAAGATCGGTATTCTGGGCTACACCCGTCAGGCACCTGGTATTAGATGGCATCAGAGTATTTCTCAGTCGGTGACTGTCGGCTTTTACTGCTGCAATGGTACAGCTATCTATTTATCAATATACAACATTTTCATTTTCAACATCAACTTTGCATTCAATTAAATTAATTTGATTTCATTACTGTTCAACAGCAAATACAAAGATAAACATCGTGCTGTGGGCGTTTTTGTGACACGGCAGCCGCAAATCCTTGTTTTGGATCCACAACTGGCTCACGAAGTGTTGGTGCAGAATTTCCGTTGTTACAAGGATTCATTGACCAGTTCCTATGTGCAGCACGCCAAGCGGGATAAATATGTACAGGGCAATCCGTTTTGGGCAGCGGGTGACACTTGGCGTCGCTTGCGCACCGAGGCTCAGGGCGGATTATCTGCGAGTCGCCTCAAGCAGGGCTATGCCATTTGGCAACAGAGTGGCAAGAAGCTAACCGATTATATGACGCAGCTTCTCGCCAAGCAGGGCAATGTGCTGGAGACGAGAGATGTAAGTCGACAGAGGGCAGAGAACTAATCGGAAAAATATATATTTTTGTATTATTTATTTCTTTCAACTAACATATCCTCTGCTCCTTCAGCTCTGTTTCCGTTATACCGCCAATGTAATGTGTGATTTCATTTGGGGCATTGATGCTGGCACATTGACCCCCAACATGGGCCAACCAAATAAGATGCAGCAAATGGCCACGAAATATACGAGCAACACATTCTATATGATATCCATATTTATGGCATCGATTGTTGCGCCCATCATTCGTCTGCTGCTGCGCCTGCGCTTCTATCCCAAGGACACCGATGACTTCTTCTCCCATCTGACCAAGGAGGCCATCGCACTGCGTCTCAAGACGGCCAATGAGATCCAGCGCACAGATTATCTATCACATCTGTTGAAGCTGCGCAACGAGAAAAATGCCACACATGATGATCTGGTGGGACACGCTCTGACCGTCATGCTAGATGGCTACGATACTACGGGATCAGCTCTGATGCATGCTCTCTATTATGTAAGCGATTGGGTTCATTTGTTTATACTGATAAAATACTAAATATGTTATAACAATTGTGTAGCTATCGGAGCAACCGGAGGCTCAGCAAAAGCTGCGCATGGAAATCTTGAACAATTCCGATAAGGATAAAGGTGTCAATTTTGATGAACTGTGTGATTTGCCCTACTTGGATCAGGTTGTGTATGGTTAGTATATAAACTAAAAAAAGTGTAAGTAAGTATAAGAATTAATTTAATTTTTATTTAACAAAGTAAAAGAAATTTAAATTTAAAGAAATTTTTTAATAGAAAAATACTCGAAGAAGGAGTTCATAATTTATTTATTTCTCATTTACTATATTGCTGATACTTATTGAGTACGTAGTTCTTGTAATTTAAGACTTACAACTAACAACTAAATAAAGTTTAAGTTCAATTAATTGTTTCTCGTAGAATCCTTGCGGCTGAGCAGTTTGATACCGCAATATACGAAAGTTTGCACACATCCCACAAATATACAATTGAATGAACAAAAGCGACTGGAGGTTGAGGTGGGCATGACCATCATGATACCAAACTATCAGTTCCATCATGATCCCAAATACTTTCCCAATCCGGAGATATTTAAGCCGGAACGCTTCGATAATGGCGCCCATCACGAGCTCATCAAGCAGGGTATTCTGCTGCCGTTCAGCGATGGACCGCGCATCTGCATGGGTGAGCACCAAAGTCCAGCTATATATCAATCAAATATATATATTAATATTTATATATTTATATTCGTATCTATTTGGCAGGCATGCGTTTGGCCCAGTTGACAATCAAATCGGCTCTGTTGCACATTATCAGCAATTACCAAGTTGTGCGGGGCAAGGACAAGATAGAGCCGGCTGGCGATACCGGGTTTGGTGTTGTTCTTCAAGGTGATATCAATTTGGAGTATCGCCGTTTCGTACAATAGTGTTACTTACAATACGTAATTTGCTTATCGCATGTTTTATAATTTGTTAATGATTTACTCAAATATTCGCTTGTTCTCTCCCAAACTACAAGTTGCACTCTCAATTGATTGGGCATATTTGTTTTGTGAAATTTCAGTAAGGCGAAATAAATTTTAAACTAGTTCCATGTGGAAATAAAATATATCTCTATGTTATTTCACTTTGTAATCACTAATTTATTAAGTATGAAAATTGATTGGCAATCGGTTCGTTCGACGTCTATTGATAAGTAATATCAGCTGTTAACAGTTAGCAAATAACAGGGCGGGTTCCCAGTAAGTGGGTTTCCCTAGGTGTCAGACGGATAGACAACATTGCACAATATCATTAGACGTAATACAAATACTTAATAAAACAATAAAGCTGGAATATATGTACTTGAAAGTGTAAACATTTGTTCATATTTAGCACCACAGTCAGATAGATCAATCGCATGGCGATAATGAGAGCAATCACAAACTATTTAACATTATCAAAACAACAGCTAAGCGAACAGTTGGCAGTCGAGTGTCGGATTGATTTGTTCTAAGAACGTGCGCTCATCATGTGGATACTGATTGTCGTGCTGGTGGGATTTGTGCATGTGGCGTTTGCTGCTGTCTACTTGTACCTCACCTGGTATCACAAGTACTGGACCAAGCGAGGATTGGTCACGGCGAAGCCCCTAACACTGCTTGGCAGCTATCCAGGATTGTTTGGTGGCGGCAGCAGTTTTATTGCTGATCTAGGAACTATTTACAAGTGAGTATTTATATATACATATATATATATATATTTATTGTATATTCAGAAATTCTTTTCTCTTTTAGTAAGTACAAGGGCAAGCATCGTGCTGTTGGCACATTTCTGACACGAGAGCCACAGATTTTGGTGCTCGATCCGCAGCTGGCCCATGAGGTGCTCGTGACGAACTTCGGCGATTATAGGGACACTTTGACGAGCAGTTATGTAACCCACTCCCAGGACTATGATAAATATGCGGCACGTAATCCCTTCTTCAGTGCGGGCGATGAGTGGAAGAAGCGACGCACAGATGGCGGCGCTGGACTCACGCCCAATAAGCTAAGGCAGGCCTACGCCATCTGGGAGCAAACTGGACTTAAGTTAATGGACTATATGAAGAGATCGATTGAGGAGCGATCGACTAATGTCATCGAGACAAGAGATGTGAGTGAGCCAGAATATCATATGTTATCTATATTTATTTATATATTTCATTTTCAACCCGAATTGAAAACTTCTTTTTCGTTTTGGGTCTTTTTAGCTAAGTTATCGATATACCGCCCAGGCCATGGGTGATTTTATTTGGGGCATCGATGCTGGCTCCCTCAGTGGCGGCGTTAATGAAGTCAGTCAATTTCAGCGCTTTTCCTACGATTGGGTCTCCCGTGCCTTTTCGGGTATAACCCGCTTCAATCGAACGCCGATTGCTCCGGTTGTGAAACGATTGTTTCGTATGCGTTTCTTTACCCAGGAATCGAATGAGTTCTATCTGAAACTCACCCGGGAAGCAGCCAAGCTAAGGCAGAGTGGCTCTGGTGCCGAACGCAACGATTACCTATCGCATCTGCTTCAGCTGCAGGAGAAGGGCGCCAGCTACGATGATATGGTGGGTCATGCTCTGACTGTACTTATGGATGGCTTTGAAACTTCGGCTGCTGTGCTTTATCATTTCTTGTATACGGTAAGCGATTGAGTATTTCACAATATTGCTTAAGTCGCAATCTTGTTTTGTTTTGATAGCTGGGCGAGTATCAAGAAGAGCAGGAAAAATTACGAACGGAAATTTTGGATGCCCTGGCTGGCGATAAGAATATCAGCTATGAGCAGCTGAACGCTCTTCCTTATCTCGACCAGTGCATGCATGGTTTGTGTTAACAATTAGAGCATTATTATTTATGGCATTATTTAAGATTTCTTTGACATTTGGGATCTGGATTGTGGGATGTGTTCGTGTCACGACTTTGTAGACCGACAATTTTGGTTCAAACTGAACACTTAATATTATTTTATTATTCAGTTTGGATCGAGTTGTCACAGTGTAAAATTTGGACTGTCAATATAACAACAGACACATCTATATCAATATATATATATATGTCTTAATCATAATTAATTCGCTATACTTTTAGAATCGATGCGTTTGACGAGTGTCATTGGTTTCTTAACCAAAATCTGCACAAAGCGCACAACAATTAATTTGGGCGACGGTAAGATATTGAATGTGGAGCCAGGAATAACAGTGACAATTCCCGCATACAACTTGCATCACGATGAGGCCAATTTTCCAGAGCCCGAGAAATTTAAGCCGGAACGCTTTGATAATGGTGCGGCAAGTGAGTATACCAAGCGGGGCTGCTTGTTGGCCTTTGGTGATGGACCACGCATTTGTTTGGGTAAGTTTTCGCATGGAAATCGAATATAAATATTTGTTAACAATTTCATAAAAATATCGCTTCTTTTTTTTTTAGGCATGCGTGTGGGATTATTAAATGTCAAAATGGCTGTATTGCGCATTTTAGCTGAATACAGAGTTGAGCAAACGAAAAAGTTGTCAATCGGCTCGGACTCCGGCTTGGGAATATATTTGAATGGTGATGTTGATTTGCGATATACAAAAGTGTAAAAATTTCAATGCTTCAACAGTGGTTCACACACACACACACACACACACACACATTGACACACATTGACACACACACGAAACACTAACAATGTGGCGACACTTTGCGTATTGTGGAACGTGTGTTGGACTTTTGGGATCGCCAACGTACCGAAATTTAATTTAGCGCAAGCCAACCGCAGACCAAGTCGACACAGTGGCACCACCAACTGCTTGCCTTACCCCTGCTCTCTTGTTTGTTTTTTTTTTCACCAAATATCGCTGCGAACCTGAATTGTGTCAGACCCACTGGACTTTATACCCAAGTATTTTCATATTGAGCGACCGCATGCAGCGTGTGTCGCCCAATGCAACTCTGGATATATACTCCATATATATATGTGTGTGTGTGTGTGTATGTGTTGTGTCGATGTGTGCGTATTGTACTATTGTGTTGCAAGCGCTGCCTTTCATAATATCCTGTGTTGCATGTATAAAGTGGGCATATTAATCATGTATATTAAATATGTTAAATAAAAATGAATACACAAATAAAGATATTGAAATTTAGAAAAATATGGTATACAATCAAATAATAACTTCAGAATGTTCTACTTGAAGCAAATATTGTTGGCTTAAGTAATTATTTAAAAAAATAGCTTGCAAAGTAAACTTGAAGACAAACATTAACTAAAAAGATATTTATGAGTGTTCCAAATTAGTTTGTTAGCGTTTTGTAACTATGGCCTGTAGTCATCATTAAAAATCGAATTCCGGTGCAGCTTCTCAATAGCATAGCATACTTTTAGGCCAGTTTAAATAAGAAAATATAAAGGTAGCAGATAGTAGATAATCCAATAAGCTTTTCTATAAGTGCTAAGCACATAATTCTATTACAGGGTAGCGCTTACGACCAATAAATTGTTGTTATTTACGCTGCATTTTGTTGTATTTATTTTTGTTGGCCTTGCTTTGCAACTAGCCACAAAATTTCATTTGAGCTTGCAATATGGTGCATTTAAATTTCGGTTTTTATTCATTCACATTTTTTCCCAAAGTGCCCATAAAGAAAAAATATATATTTGTATGCAGCTTATATATATATGTGTGTGTGTGTGTTTGTGTGTGGAAATTAAATTTTATGACGGCATCGTCGCCATTTTATTTATTGGTCTAAACAAATTGTGGCTTAAATAAATGCTGGTTGGTATAAGCCGCAAATATTTGAATTCGATTTGAATGTAATTGTAGTCTGCGAGATAGAGAGGGAGGGTGAGCGAAAGAAAGAGAAGGCGAAGCAGAGTTTGAGGTAGGCAAAGTATAAAAAAAGTTAATGACTGTGGCCGTTAACGCGCCACAAAATGAATATGGCCAAAAAAAAGTTTCGCGTCTAAGCCGAAAGTGGAATGTGAAACCTTCATTTTTGGTTTGGTTTGTTGTTTGTTGCAACAAACACTTGAAGATAAGCAGCCCCAGCAGCCGGCAGCAGTCGGCAGCCGGCAGCAAGGACATGCCGCAGCCAGGTGTCCTGTCTGCTGTCTGCTTTCTGGTATTTTGGCTTGTGCTGTGTGTTTTGTAGCAGGCTTCATGCTACGTTGGCTTTTATCCAATTTACCTGATAACCACAAATGAGCGTTAATGGGCAAATAAATAGAAAAGTGGCAACTACGGTGCGACGGCGCTGTTAACTGAATGAAGCACCCCACCCACCTCTCCCACCAACGGTACATTTACTTAGCAAAAATATAATGCGTTTATACTGCAGGCATTTGTTTGACAAGCGGCTTGGAAATGCATTAAGGAAATGTGTTGCGATAAATTTTTAATGGCACTCGCAACTAGTAAAAATTTTAAATTCATTTTAAATTATGTGACGAAACTTGCTATAATTTTTATTACCTAAAATAACAATTTTTAAAAGGTATCCTTAATAGATCTTTAAGCCCTGGCTTGCTTGTTGTTCGCAGTGACAAATTTGTTTGTTTGTTTGTGTATCTAAACAGCCAGCTATTAGCCAACTTAACATAATTGTTTTAATTTATCTGTTGGCAGAATGTTTGGCTAATTGTGTATAGCGATTAAGCTACATTTATTTTGCCCTTGGCAACATAGTCTCTGTTTGTTTAGCAGCAACAACCTCTGTTTGCCAAAAACTACTAGTTGAGCGGGCAAACAATGTGCCAATTTGTAGATCCTGTTTAAAACTGGCGGTGGACTCGGAGAGTGGCATTTGTAGAGGGCCAAAGTTGGTCCGTGTCAAAATAACGTCGAACTATAATATTAATTTGCGCACGTTCCGTTTTGGTTAGTGTCTGGTTTAGATTTCGCTGTCAGTTGCTGTTGTTGTTGTTGGTGTTGTTGGCGGCATTGCACCACTTTGGTCACAAATAGCAATGCACTAATAGAGAGGGAAAGAGAGAGAGAGAAAGTGGAATGCAGTCAGGCAGACGACTAATGGAATTAGCAAGAATTTAAGCATTAAACACATCATGTGCATTGGCATGTTGCACTTTAGCTGGGATTTGCAAACGCAGCCAACAGTTGCAGTTGCAGTTGTAGTTGCAGCAGCAGCAGCAGCAGCAGCAGCGACAGCCAATTGGGAACGGTGATTACTCTGGTCTCCATAGTCAGTTGTCGGTTGTCGGTTGTCGGGTTGTTTGTTGGGTGGTGTCTGTGTTCTGCTTGGTTAGCTTCGAGACAAGTGTTTCCCCTCCCATCTATACGCTGCCTATTTCTCTGCATACCTTACACCGTTTAATTGCTCTTAAATCCCTATATGCTCCAATGTCTCACCACTCTCTCTCTCTATCTCATGTTACGCTGCCATTTTGGCTTCTCAAATGCTGAATAGACTTTGGGTGGGTGTTTTATTGCTGGCAACAGTTGCGTTGATTTTCGAATTGCTTGCATAGTGCAACGTGGCGCTAATTAAAATGAAATTTGTTCAGCAAAGCCAAATATACCAAAGGACCAAACGCCTCATTCTCCCCTCATTCTCCCCTCTCTCTCTCTCTCTCTCTCTCTCTCTCTCTCTCTCTCTCTCTCTCTATCTCTATTTCTCTTCCACTACTATTCCCCTCCTCTGTTAGCGAAGTCAAAGCACAAGCAGTGGCTAAGTATTGAAGTACTTTGCTTTTATGACAGGTAAGTATTTGTGTAAGCAAAACCACATTTTTGCTGACTTGGCACAACTTGTTGACCCACTACACGTATACGTAATGCGAGTGCTGACCATGATTATGGTTCCATTAGGGCAGCCAACTCAATTGGTCGAATTTCATAGATCCGATTTAATTTAGTGGAAGCTTTAGTTCAATTTTCTTATTAAAATGCAAATACTCTTTCAATTTATTCAACTAGCAATGGATTGAAATGATTGAATTAGTTAAATTCGTTCAGTAGTATTTGCTTTTGTTGACTAGATCATGTGGAAATTCAATTGTTTTTAAGGAATTGTATATTTGCAAAAGATTTATGAGATCATTGAACAAATTTATTTGTGCATGTAAATCGAAAAAATATTGTTCTTAATTTGTTTTCTTGATTAAAATCCATGCCACACCTATTTATACATATATACAACATAATATATTAGGACTGTTTGCCACAACAAAATTGACTCATAAGCAATTAAGTCCCGTTGGAGATTCAATCAAAGGAACTAGTTCCAGTGGGAGGTGACACACATCTCTAAATCAAGTCGGAACGAGCGCAATATAAACAAACACACATGCCTGGGGAACTGTGTGTGTCATTGTATGTGTTTTTGTGTGTGTGTGTGTGTGTGTTGGAAGTTTGTTTGTTTATTTGCTTGTTAGATGACCGCTGGCCATGGTCAGGTGGGTAATTTGCTCCGAAAAATGGCATCATTAGCTTAACAAATTGCCATTTTGTTGTTGCCACATAAATCGCCTAACAGCAGTCTGAGTAAGCCGTAGGACCAAAGATTCAGGCTGAGTCAGTCAGTTCGTCAGTCGGTTACTTAATTAAAATTGAAAATACCCAAAAGTCATCGGAATTTTCGTTGGCAGCACCCCAATGGGTTTTTCCAATTGTTATTGACTGTGGCGCATTAAGATTTTCATTAGCACTTCGTTCGCGAAATTAAATGAATATTAAGCGAGCTCCAAACGAGAATAGACAGCTACAAAGTTACTAATGCTCTTGATTTTATGACATGTCTGTGCAATCATAAATCATAAATATGCTAAAATTATGCGAGCAGCGACGCTGCTATTAAATCTTAATTTATATATTTATATATACGTATGTGTGTAAAACTTAAATATTACGTATACGCCCACTTGAACCCGCTGCGGATTGTGTGTGTGTGTGTGTGTGTGGGCGAAAGATAAAAACTTTAAGAATTATAACTTTGGGGATTTTCGAGGCCCCCGAACGCCGCTCAATGACCACAAAAGTAAATAACGTGGCATGCCCATACATATAAGCCAGCGAATGGGAAAACCAAAGGAAGGGGCTAGAGAGTGAGCAGCAAAAAAAAAAAAGAGAGAGAGAGAGAGAAAGAAAGAAAATTGCAAACTTTTAAATATAATTTTAGCTTTTGTGCTGGTGCGTCAACATGGAACATGATATGGCACAAAATGTCCCTGCGGAAGGACAGTCAATCCGACTGGCCCCCCGCCCATGCCCGAGTCCATGTCCAAGTCCAAGTCCGGTTTTTAGGCCAGTTCAGCTCGGCCTTGTCAATATTTGTTACACAATCAGCAAATACGAGCAGCATGCAGTTAGCTCTGGCTTACTCTCGTGTAGCTCATCCCCATGTCCCTTTGGTCTAGGGCCAAGACTGACTGTACAAACAGTGAATGAAGCTGTTTCACGTTTGGTCAATGGATGTGGTCGTCAGTAAATGAAAATGTTGTTTAGCTTTGGGCGAATCGAATCGTATCTGTTTCTTGAACATACAGTTAACTTTACGCAGCTCAATTAGAGAGCGGAAATTCCGGAGAATGTGTTGGCAAATAATTCCAACAATTTGTTATTGGGATAGGTATGACTCCGACTTGCGCCACTGCACTATGGGTAAAATTGAGACTTAAGCTAGTAAAACTTTTTGCTTTCTTGATTAATAATACAGAATAAAAAATCTTTGAACAAATCTTGCTTTAATCTAGAAAAATTCAATTGCATTGCCTTTCAAAGTATCAAGCAAATGCCACTCAAAAATGGGAAATTCTGGCCTGTAAAAGTGGCTTTATTACATAGTATATAACAGTAAAGAATTAATTTGCTTGCTTAACTTTTGTGTTTGTTATTCAGCTTTATTAGATTTTACTAACACATATCAATATGGCTGAAAAACTGAATATTTTATTTGCACTTTGGTGCCACTGTCTTCTCTCGACGGGTTGATTTCGGTTTTCTTTGCTCCATGCCACATGTCCCTAATAACATTGACAACTGTCAACGCTTCGCGGGAGTTACTGTCATACACAAACACACATATACACACATATACACACATATACACACATACGCACACACATGCACACACACACACACACGTTGGAAGTTGCATTGAAAAATGTGAGCACTTCCACAGAAGGCGGGTCTAT